GACCCGGGTGGTCCCGGCTGGACCCGGCTGGACCCGGCTGGACCCGGTTTCTAGACGCTGGAGGAGGAGGCCTCTTCCAGCTCCAGGGCTGTGTTCAGCCTGAGCCAGTCCTAACAACACCAACACCTCCCAGCAGTGCTTTAGCTTTTCTGAGCAAAACACGCTCTCACCCAAATGGTTTGGGCTATTCAAGAAATATTAAGATAGTTAACAATCATAAAATGCACATGTTGAAAATGGAATATTAATGTTTCCACTGATCAAAGTAAGACATGAACCTAAAGTTTCACAATGGTACACAATGTGGTAGCACGGATATTTCAAACTCTGGTTCTTCTGTCTCGTTGGTCCTGTGATCAGAGCCATGAAGAGCAGAGGAAAGAGGCTGCAGCCGGGCAGGACGGTCCTGAGCAACACGTGCACAGATGAAAGAGCTGCAGGGAACGCCCCCCCCAGTCCTTCAGCAGTCACACTGCATGTGACAGCAGATGTTTGATGGTTTAGTGGACTGCAGTTGGCCAGTGTTGCTGGAACTGCAGTAGGATGTAAGGGATTCTCTCCCAGGGAACGTTTGGCTGTTTCTTAATTCTTAAACATCAATGACATTTTTCCTTTTTTCTCTGACACAGTCTCACATTGTAGAATTCATCAGGCGTTCTATTGGAGAGCTCTTCTCCAGACGTGTGTGGAGTTTTACCACTCCTCTGTGGGTTTCCCCTCAGCAGCTGAGCCTGGCCACCAGCTCTCCCTGACCTCCCGCGTTCATCTTTTCTGCCCCTCTGCCTCCTTTAGCCACAATGGTACCCGTCACAAGTAGTATTATAGTAGTATTCCTTTGGTTTTGAGAAAAAGGTTATTCATAATGGAAATTCAGTTTAGCTGTGTTTTGGTACATTTAGATGTTTTAAAGAACAGATTGCATGGAGAACCAGGTTGGAGTATTTTATTTAGTCAGTGGGTGTTGTTAGGCAGCTTTTCACAGCTGGTGTCCATGATAAGCTGTTTAATTGAAAAAGATAC